GCCACACCCCCCAAAGGACAAGGGCGTACTTAGAAATGGACAGGGATGCACTCCTGTGAGACAGAGAGGGAGGGAGGGAGATTAGCTGACCCTCTTGGATCTCCTTAGGAGGTTCCCAGTGGTCTGAAGAGTGCTGCTTCTACTCCCCCCACCCCAATATCTTCTCTCCAAATCTCTGGAGAAACTAGATTTTTCTTTTTTTAGACAGAGTCTTACTCTGTCACCCAGTCCCAGCTCCCAGCACCTAGCGAGAAATATGACAGCGAATGTCCTGGTTTACCCGCAGCCCAGCAGGCGTGGAGGGGGTAGGGCTGAAGGATTCACCCGATCTCCTCCATTGGATGGGTCTCTTATTTTACCCAGGCTAGTGTGCAGTGGCGCAATCATAGCTCACTGCAGCCTCCAGCTCCTGGACTCGGCCTTGATCTCTCGTGCTCAGACTCCTCCCATCTAAGCCTCCCAAGTAGCTGGGACTATAGGTGCATGACACTATCCTCAGCTAATTTGTAAGGTTTTTTTGTAGAGATGGGTGTCTTGCTGTGTTGCCTAGCCTAGTCTTAAACTTCTGGCTTCCAGTGATCCTCCCACTTTGGCCTCCATTGCACCCAGCCTAAAATTCTTAAGAATCCCTCCTTCCTGGGGAATCCCACTGCCCCTCCCCCAACGTCTAGAGCCCAGGGAGAGTGTAAGTCTTTTCCTCCTCCCTTGGGGCACTGAAATCAGAAGGTGAGTCAGGGGGTAGGGGCCAGGGTGGGTGGGGTGACTCAGCTATCTAGAGGGGGAACATGGTCTGGTGAGAGATTGCTTCTCGACCTCAGAGGGTGTACCCTAATCCCCTATGGCTCTCTGATGTCCAAACCTAGGCCAGGCAGTCCCCTGGGTGGGGTGAGGATGTGGGCTGATGAGCACCGCCCCCTCCCGCTCCTGCAGACTCTGGGCTGCCAGATGAGGTTGAGGTGGTAGCAGGGGCCTCACTGGCACAGGGCCAATACCCAGACCTGGCTACGACATGCTTCCAGCCTCAACCCCGTGGGGTCAGGCCCCTGGGCTTCTCTGCTTATGTGATCAACTGCGTCCCAATTCCTGCCTCCAGGGTCTCCCAGGGGGCTTGTTGGCTGGTCACCTGGGGCAGCCAAACAGTGCTGGAAATCTTGCAGAAGGACCCCCTTCATGGCTTGGCATCCTGACATACAGGAAATCAGGGCTGCCTCAAAGTCTTCCTGGGCAAGGGCTAGTGAGGGCTTGGTGGCACCAGTTCTGAGCACACAAACAGACCAGCCTGGCTTCCTGTGCACTGTCCTGGTCTCGCCCAGAAAGTCCAGGAACGTCTCCAGGGTAGCAAGCGTCTTAATTTTGCCCTTACTACAATGGCAATCATAACTCGGCCATTAATGGCCAGAGGTGACTTCCAATGAAGGGAGCTGGCTATCCTCAGAGCAACACAAAAGGTCACAGGTAAGCTGTGGGAGTCAAAGGAGCTTTCAGTCCCAGGCTTTGAAAAGAAGCAGGGACAGCCATGCCTGCCGTCATCACCTCCAGCATCTGGAGGTCGGGGCTGCAGAGGGTAGCAGAAGCAAAGTCACAAAGGAGAAGGCAACATGGAGAACAGAGCCCAGGGACTGCTGTCTGGAGGGCAGTCGCCCAGGGGCGTGGGTGTGAGCGCCTGGGAACGCCCATGTGAGTTTCCTTCAGAGGTGGGCAGCAGGTCTCAAGCATCAGTCACACCGGAGAGGGAGGCCTGATCTGATGCAAGTCCTGGCCTTGTCAGGCTCCGGGGCCCTCTCAGCTGCCCCCAGGCCTGGCCCAGCACCGCCCCCCCCCCCCGCCCTGCCCAGCCTCACTTCACCCAGTTGGAGTGCTTTCTCCAGAACCCTTACTCGCAGCTCCAACTCAGCCAGCCCCACCCTAGCATGAAACCTGAGACTGGGGGGGGGAGAGCCCTCAGCCTCCTGCTGCTCTGAAAATCACTCTCATTTGCAACAAGAAGGGAAAGACATCAGAATGGCTTTCCACCATTCTTTAAGGCCTGGCCCCAGCCCCAAATGCTCATGAAGACCCCACAGACCTTCCCAGCCTGCTGTGATCACTTTTCTCTGCCACCACCAGGCTGAAGAGGGACAGGAGACTCCCTGAGCCTTTAGCGTCCTACCCTCCAATGTGGCATTCAGTGTGGCTTGATTTGTGTTGTTGATTATGTCTGTAGGTGTCTTGGGTCCCTAATGGAGTGTAAGCTCCTTGAGGGCAGGGTCCTAGCTTGTACATCTCAGTACCTCCCACAACATCCATCCCAGGCCGTAACACATATTATGTTCTGATGGATTGATGGATAAGAGGCACAAAGAGACACCAGCAATCCCACACCCCTCAAAAAAATGAAGTGAGAGTCTGAGGCACAGAAGACAAGGAGTAGGGAGCCCACATTTATTGAGTGCTGACTGCGTGTTAGGCACTAATAAGTGTTTTATGTATGTTCTCATATTTAACCCTTTCCACAAACTCTGTGGAAAGATGTATGATCAGTTCCATTTTACAGGTGTGAGAACTGCAGTTCAGACATGATAATTACCATTCCCAGGGGGCACAGCTATCATGAATGGCGGGGTCAGGACTGGAAGCTAGATGTGCCTGCCTTCAAAGCCCATGGGAAGTCCCCTCTGCCCTGTGCCCACTCCCAGCACCCAGCGAGAAAGATGACAGCGAATGTCCTGGTTTACGCTCAGCCCAGCAGGTGTGGAGGGGGAAGGGCTGAGGCATTTGCCCTGATCTCCATTGGATGGGCCTCTTATTCCTGCCTGTGGTCCATCTTCCTGGGAGACTCCCTGAACAGGGTCCCCAGAGCCAGGATTAGAGCAGCCTGCTCTTCCGCCCCTTGTGCCCCACGCAGGCAGTCCGGTTCTAGGATCCGTGCCACTTCCCCTGGCTCTGGCTATTTGGAGATGAGCTGAAGTCAGGCAGGAAGTCGAGGAAAAGTTCTGCTTTCTTGTCCCTGTGTGTCCCTAAACAGCCTGCTCAGGGTCACGCAATTGGGCAAATGGCCTGAGTGCCTGGCCATCTGGTCATTCCAGGGGCAGGACCCTCCTGGGCCCAGCAGGAGTGAAGGGGTTACATAGAGACAAAGAACACACACACACATACAGGCAAACACACACTCCGGGGCCCTGACCTCGGCTAATTAGCCTCTGGTGTCTCAGGGGTGACAGAGCGGATATACAATATCTGGGTTCTCTTTGTATTCCCTCTTTCCACCCCAACTTAGCCTTGGCAGGGGTCTCTGGGCACATAGGGGCAAAGGCAAGTCCCCCGTCTGGGCTGGCTTCTCTGACTTTGACAGCTGTCTCCTAAGTCCCAGAAAGCTGCAGCTACTGGTTAAACCACGGGATACGCAGAAAGCACGATCTCAGGGAATCCCTGGCAAAATTTCTTCTTTCACTTGGGCTGGGTGGTGGCTCCGGGACCTGCTCCTTGGAGACTCAGGCCTCCCAGCTCCAGGCCGGACAGATGTGCAGCCCCAGGGCAGCCCATAGAGGCTGGGAAACACCCAGCTCCTGGAGCAGGAGAGATGGGGGGAGAAGGGGAAAGAAAACTCATGCACACACACACACACACACACACACACGCACAGGAGTTTGGCCGGAAAAGTTTCCTACAGAAGGAAAGGCAGCCTTGCCCGCAGGTTTTCCCGGGACCCAAGGAGACTTCCCCAGGAATCCTCTGGGAAGATGAGAGGCAGCGGCAGCAGCTTCCACCAGCAGCAAAACTTCAGTCCGAAAAGTCCCCCAAACCCCCCTTCCTCTCCCCCTCGTTCTTTTGTTCCCCACTGCATTGCCAACCAGGCAGCTCCCGGCTTCCCACACTGGACTGTCCTCCCCCAACCCCGAACCCGAACCCGCCCGCGCCTCCCCGCCTGGCCCGCCGCCGGGGGACCCGGGGGCGCTCACCCGCCTTGCAGGGGTCTTTGTAGTTGAGGGGCTCCGGGTCGTCCTCCTCCGCCAGGTCATAGGTGTAGTCGGCCAAGTCCAGCGGCCGGCCGGGACGCGGGAGCAGCAGCAGCCCAAGCAGCAGCGGCAGGCGGGCCACGCCGGGCATGCTGGCGGGGCGGCGGCGAGGGAAGCGGGCACTGGAGGCCAGGGGAGGGCGTCCCTCGCCCGCTCGCTCGCTCAATCGCGACCGCGACCGCGACCGCTCCCGCCCGCGCTCCCCGACCTCTTCCCCTTCCCTCTGCTAGCCTCCCTCCTTCCTGTCTCCCGCCCCCCGCTCGGCCCGCGGCTCCGCGCCGGTCCTGGGGCTCCAGCCGTCTCCCTCTCCCTTCCCTTCTTTTTCTCTCTTTCTTTCTCTCCCTCCCTCCCGCTCCCCCCCCGTTTTAGGGAAATGAGCTCGCTGGAGGGCGGGTTTTCGCCCGAGCTCGGCCCCCCTCGGGGCCGGGACTGTGCTCTGCCGGGCCGGGCCGCGCGCCAGCCGTGGCTGGGAAGGCGGGGAGCCGCGCGCCCGGGGAGGGGGCTCGGGCCGCCCGGGGCGCGGGCCGCGGGGCCGGGGCGGGAGCTCGGTCCCCCGGGGTGCCCGGCGAGCTGCCGCTCCCGAGGTGCCCTCTAGCGGCGGCGTCCCCCGCGGGCGCCCGGCCGAGCCCCCGCCCCGCCGCGGGACACGCTGTCAGTTTCTCGCGCCGCCCCTGCCCCTAGCCCCCGCCTCGGGTAGGTCTCTCAGCCCACGTCTCCCTTGCTCCCCTTCTCGGACCCTCGCTCTCTCGCGTCTCGCTCTTTGCGCTCTGTCTCTCTCGCTGTCTCGGCGTCTCTCCCTCCTCCGGAGACGCCGCTGGAGGGCGCCGAAAGCCCGTGGATGGCTCCCGGCAAGCCCCTCTACTCCGCCGGAGTGGACCCAGTCCCCCAGCGCCCTGAGACAGAGGAAAAATGGCAAACCCGTCTCTGCTCCCTCAAACCCCTTCCCTTTCTGGCCTGCCGCCGCCGGGGCAGCACTGCGTCCTGCGGGAAGATGGAAGCAGACCCTTTGCTTTTCAATCAGGCTGCTTTATTCTGTTGTGGCAGGAGTTCCCCGGCCCCTGGGCGCCACCTCCGCCCACTCCCATCCTCTCCCCAAACTCCCATTTCTCCAGGGCCTGTCCCTGCGGTGTGGGCAGAAGCAGCTTCTTGCCTGTCTGCAAAAGTTGCAAAAGACCCTTTTCTTGGGGCGTTTCCTGTCCCCTTGGGGCTTCCACTGACCCTGTGAAGTAAAGGAATGTTGAGGTTGGACAGAGAAGGTTCCAGGAGTGGGAAATACTGGTATGAGCCTCCCCTCCCCTGAGCTCACTGGATGACCTGGCTTCAATGGACGCCCCAGCGCCTGGTCAGCCTGAGCGCTCCTCCACTGCTCAGGGGAGATGGCCCGAGGGCTCCTCCACTGCTGATCAGGATCCCTGGGATCACACCTGCTCACCTGAGGAGTTCTAGATGTAGTAGAGCGGCACCTCGCCACACAGGGTGCTCACGGCCATGCCCAGGAAGCCCGAGTCCCCTCTGGAGGGTGCTGAGCCCGCATCACGCCCCTCCGCCTGGCCCAGCTTAGGGGCTGGCTTTTCGGGCTTGGCCTGCAGAAAGCATTCCATTTGGAATCTGGGAAGTGAGTTTCTATCCCATGTGTAGCCCGTATTGTCGGACTTCAGGCATGTCAGGCAATCTCTCTGAGCCTCTGTTTTCTCACCAGGAAAGGGGGACTGAGCTGGAGTCAGAAGCCCCCAGGTGGTGAGTGGGCTCAGCTGAGCCCAGCAGCTTGGCAGCAGGGTGGGTAAGAAAGGAGTCGTGCAGGTGAGTATGAAGAGGGGTAGTCAGTCCGCAGCCCACGAGGAACGGTGCTTTACAGATGACAAATAGCCACCATTCAGACACTCCTCCCAGCAGGCCTGGCAGGGAGACTGCCCACTCCTTTCACTCACACACATACCTGGAAGTTCTGGACTTTTCTAGTGAGAGCCTCCAGACTGGGGATGCTCTCTGGAGCAATCTTCATGATGTAGCAGCAGGTGCCAGGGGCTGGCTTGTAGGTGATCAGGAGCTGGGCACAGAATGCTGGTGATCATTCGGGGGTTCCTGCCCTGCTCGCTCCCTGATCCAGATCCTTAGCCAGCTCTGTCTAGGTTGGGCACAGGAGTCATACTAGAATCTGGGGTTCAGGCAAAAAGGGCTGGAGAAGGGGACAGATGGATGTGGATGAAGTGGCCCAGTTGGGTGACTCTAGCAGAGTCTTGTCACTAATCCCAGTGTCAGGAGGTCTGGGCATACCTACCCGCTGGTAGTCATACACCACAAGGCCAGTGGAGCCGATGGAGAAGGTGGCAGTGGTACCCAGGTGCTCATTCAGGGCCAGCCATTGCTGGGCTTCCGGTGCCCCCATGCTCATCTCCAGGACCTGGGGAAAGCGCAGAGAGCTGCCTGGTCTTCCCCTTTCCTACTCAGCCTGCGGTACCAATCCACATACTCAGACCTCTGTACTCAGATGTGCTTCCCTCTTTCCCGAGAGCTCAGGGAGGCTGAGTGGAACCAGGTGCTGGAGGGAGCCGGCTGTCCTGCTGCAGGACAGGGGCCTTGTGGAAAAGCCTGGGCTGAGTTGCAACCTGATTCCTGCCTCTTTCCTTCTAGCTGTGCCCCTTGCCTCCCCTCCACTCCCCTTGGACAGTTTCCTGACACCGCTCTCACCCAGCCACTCTGTCCAGCATGTCCTGTGCCCACTACCGCCCCATCCCACACCTCTCACCATCTCCGTGTGTTTCTGGCTCATGTGGAGACCCATGAGCAGGGCTCCCACGATCACCACGACGACGAGGACCACCACCACCACCACGATGAGAAGGCGTTTCAGGTCCACTGGGCAGCAGGGGATGCCGAATCGGCCCCTGGGGGCTGCAGAGTAGTCCTGACAGGGTGGGGCAGGCAGGGAGACTGGCATGAGGTCATGAGGGCATCCCCTCCTCTCTCTGCACAAGCTGGACACCCTCCCATGGCCACCTAGGGCTGGACAGCTGATGTGATGGATGGGCAGGGAAGGGCTGAGATCAGAGGAGGCTTCTTGGAGGAGACGGCCTGGATTCTAACAAACCCATAGACACACAGAAGCTGAGAAGCAGGGTCTAGTTTTGAGGGACCCCAGAGAGCCTGCTTCACTTGTCTCTTCCTGAGCTTCCCGCAGCCCCCTGGCATCCCAGCCATGGCCAGCCCCTCTCTGTTCCCCAAGTGATCACTCTCATTAAGTAGGAGTGACATTTTCTCTGTGAAGTGTCCCCTGACCTCTGATGTATTTCATGGCTTCTTACTTGGGGCTGTCTACAAACAGCCCTTTCCATCAACCCCTATAGTGGCTCTCGGCCCATGAACTGCTCCCCAAGGGTCTCTGGCTTAGTGGTCTTGGTGTCCCCATGCTGATTTATCACAGCCCTAGGTTAGTTGAGTGAATGGATCTCGATAAGGAAACAGGCCAGGGAGGTTAGAGGAGGCAGGGCCCGTCACAAACATCACGCACACACACACACATACACTCTCTCTCTTTCTCTCTCTCTCTCTCTCTCTCTGTCTCCTCTCTCTCACCGGCGGGCTCTCCATCAGGACCTCTTTGCTGCCCACATCCATCTTGTTGCAGGCGCTGTGCTCTCCTCTCCTCCTCTCCCAGGTGTGACCAGGGTCTTATATGTGTCCGTAGGGACAGAGGACAGAGGTGAAGGACCAGGCCCCCTGTGTGCCAGCCAAGACCTTGGCTTTGAAGCCTGTTTGTTCCTGGCCCTCCAGAACCAAAGCCCAGATAAGCCAGCTGTGAGAGCCCCCAAGGGCCCTTGGCCCGGGCACATGAGTCCTCTTAGCCCCAGCAAGAGCAAACCTAGGTGAGCTGAGCAAACTTGCCCTTGGGGCATCTGCACCTCTCATCATGGGTATCTCGTTGGTGTGCCTGCCTTCCTTGCTGGCACCTGCTCCTGCTGCCCTGTGGCTTTGCTTGTTCTTCTGCCAGCCTAAACCTCGTGGGTGGCCAAGGTTTGACCATCACATTTCCCAACAGAATTTCTCCATGCCTAGGGATGCGCTCCAGGAAGCGCGTTCTGGAGACAGCGCCTGTAGACTCTGAGGGGACTCTGCTGAAGGCAGGAGGTGCTTTGACATCAGTTTTGGGTATTTCATAAATGTGCATTTCCCTGCAAGGGCCGAATTCCCACTTCAAGCACTCTTTCTCTCACCTTGCCTCCTCCCACACATCTGGTACCAACCTCAAACTGGCCCCCAGTCATTATTTTCCTAATTCTGGAAACTCTGCCCCACCGGTGGCAAGCTCTTACTCATGTGCAGTACTTCCTTCTTTGCTGTGGGCTTGTCTGTCAATTGCAGACTGTGCTGATGGCAGATTCCAGGTCTGACACTGTTTTCTTCCACCTGGACAGCCCTACACAGGGCTGGCTCTGGTCACTGGCGGGCTCCCAGTCTCCTTATCCTCAAATCAGCCCACTCACCCTGTGGTCTACACCCCACCCCCTAGACTCCCTTTTACATCTTCTGATCCTAAATTTGCCATGAGAATGCTACTCACCCAAATACGATCAACTTTTGGGACAGTCTCCTTCTCCATTATCTCTCTTTCCTACTGCTTTCCCCAAAGCCATCTCTGCGTATTTACAAGGTCACATCTGCCCATGACTTTGGACTGACTCACCCTTCCTCTCAGCTCCCTTTCACTCTTTGCGCCAGGTGGTCTCTGAAGTCCCTTCACCTCCAAACTCAGGTGACTGAGGCAGAGTCCACGCCTCCCTCTCTAGGCCTTGCTCTCTTATCCTTCTATCTATTTTTTTTTTGAGACAGGGTCTTACTTTATTACCCAGGCGGGTGTGCAGTAGCAAGATCACTGCTCACTGCAGCCTTGACCTCCTGGACTCCGGTGATCCTGCCACCTCAGCCTCCCAAGTAGTTGGGACTGCAAGTACGTGCCATCATGCCCAGCTAATTTTCATATGTTTTGTAGAGCTGGGTTTTCGCCATGTTGCCCAGGTTGGTCTTGAACTCCTGGGCTCAAGTGATCTCAGCCTCCTAAAGTACTAGGATTGTAGGCATGAGCTACTACGCCTAACCAGCTCCTATCCTTTACCTTTAACATGCCACCTCAGTTCCTGTCCCCTGCCCTGGCCCCTTCCCACCTGAGCCCTGCCCTTCGGTCATGAGCTGACGAGTTTTCCTGTTCCCTCTCCACCTGGAGGATCTTCAGTCCCCAGGTTGCCTAATAGCATGGCATCTGAGCTGAGAGCCCCTGAGAAGCGAGAAAGGGAAGGAAGTGTTTGCTCCCACCACCCTCCTCACCCCCTAGCTGCCCCTTTAAATATTTGCCTAAGACTCCAGCAGCCAGAGAGTGTCCTGGGACAGTGAAAGGAGGGGAGGGATGCCAGGAGGCGGGGGAGCCTGAAGAAGTGTCCTCTCAGCTCGGCCTCAGCTGTGTGCAGGTGCCAGATGTAGGAGACAGCTCTCCCGCAGTGCCCACCCCTGCCCTCCCCCAGGGCCCCCGCTCCCACCCCCATCGTCCTGGCAACATTGGGATTGATCGGCTGACTCACGAGTACTGGGCCCCAGCCAGGTGGGCAGCTGGCCAGCGGGAGAGCCAAGCACTGCAGGCATCTCGGGGTCCCTATGGGCATCTCGGGGGGAAGGCGTGTTATCCTCATATGGAACTTGTTCTTAGCAGGCACTGTGGGTGGGGCTTGCCGTCATCGCTGGGTGCTGGGAGAGGGGTCTTTTTCTTTGAAAGAAGCCTCTGCTCTTCAGGCCTTCAGTCTCCCCTGCTTCAGTCTCCTTGGGCTGTAGCTGTCACAGGCTTTGTGGCTGCTGCTGCTGCTGCTTCTCCTCCTTCTTTCTTAAACCCGGATTTTTGCTTGCTTGAGGGCTGGGGAAGGGTGCCTGCTTCCTGGAGGGCTCACACCAACCAGGTGGAGGTCTTGGGTTCCTTGGAGAAGGAAACACACGAGCCTGCTCTTGTCATCAGCTGGGTGCGCCAACCTTCCCCTCCTCCATACCAGCCCTCTCTGCAGCCTTCTCACTTTTTGCCCTTTATTTGAGCCATTTCTCCCTCGTGAAAGCCCACCTCCAATCCCTCTCCACATCTCTGGTTTTATTTTTATTTTTATTTATTTATTTATTTAGTTAGTTAGTTAGAGACATGATCTCTCTCTATTACCCAGGCTGGAGTGCAGTGACGCAATCAGTTTTATAGCTCACTGCAGCCTTGATCTCCTGGCCTCAAGTGATTCTCCTACCTTAGCCTCCCAAAGTTCTGAGATTACAGGCGTGAACCCTGCATTCTGGCCTTCCATCTCTCTGAATGCCACCCACCCAAACAGGCCAAGAGCCAATGGCACCTGCTCTATGACCTCACTCCAGTTCAGGGTGCCCTCTGAAATCCTCAGCCTCTCTGTGGCACCTTCCACCCGCCATTTGGCACACATAAATGTTCTCATCGGTGACATGGGTGCTTTTTGTTGCTCTATCTTCCAGCCCAACTGTGGGCCCTGGAAAGGAAAGGCACATGCTTCCCACAGGCTTCTTTGAACATGCCACTGGGCAGGAAGCTCACAAACAGCCAACACTTAATGATAGTCAACAATGAGACCAACCCCAACAGCGGTCAGTAGTGCTTGCCTTCAGTATGTGAAGGTCTCAGTGCTTCCACTGGCCAGCTCTGGGACTCAGCAGGAGTCAACCTGCTTTGCTAGGCATTAGTATGTTCGTCTGTGAAATGGGTCAGGTCCTAGCTATCCACCTCATCACACTGTTGTGAGGACTTAATGACATCCTGGGTGTGAAATCCAGTCATCGTCATTAGCATCATCTACGTCATCCTCTCAGGCACCTCTCACTAGCCACGAATACAGTGCAGACTCACCCTCTCTATTTCTGGGTTGACCCCCTCCGAGAGCCGTGGGTGACGGACAGCGCACGGTGGCCACCTCTTCTGCATGGGCCTCCCCATTTAGTCCTCCAGCCCCTCAGCTGCAGGGGTTGGGACAAGATTCACTTTGCTCTTTGTGTACTGGGCAGAGCCGTGCCAGGGACGGGTGGGGACAGTTGCCCAGCTGCCCCAGCCACCTCCCTACCCCCACTGCTTCCCTCCACCCAAGCTGGCATGGGGAGGGCAGCAAGGCAGCTGGATGTGTGGCAGCAAGTGGACATCAAAGGGCAGGGGCATCCCTGGCTGGGAGAACACAACTTAAGCTCAGACCAGAGAATCCCCTGCTGGCAAAGGCTGGGGACAGCTGGGGAAGCATCCTAAAGCCAGTGGTCTCCGTTCCCTGGACTGATGTGGAAAGGGCACGAGACTAGGAGCCCAGGCAGCTGACAGCCAGCCTCCCGTTGCCTTGAGCCCACAAGCTCTTCGGACAGTCATCCCCCTTCAACAGGGACCTAATATGGTATAGAGCAGTAGTCTTCAAGTTTTTTGGTTTCAGGATCCTTAATACTCTCAAAAAGTGTTGAGGACCCTAAAGAGCTTTTGTTTATGTGGGAAACATCTATTGATAGTTGCTGAGAAATTAGTTTTATTTACATATTAATTTAAAAGATCAGTAATAAACCCATTATATGTTATGACTAAATCATAATTTTAATGGATATAACTATTTTACAAAGCAAAAAAAATTAGAGAGGAGTGTCATTGCTTTACAGTTTTGGAAATCTTTTCAATGTGGGGCTTAATAGAAGTGAAAAGGGTAAATCATGTCTTAACAACATTAGGAAAATTGTTCTGACCTCAGACACTCCCCGAAAGGTTCTCAAGGACCCCTGGTCTCCCAGGGGCATACTAGGAAGAGGCCCACATAGAAGGACGACGGGAAATGGTCAAGTTGGGCAGAGTGGGCGGAAATCCCTGCTGATACCTTTTCTTCCCCTATGACAGGCCTCGCTTTTCTTGTCTGTGAAAGGGAATTACTATCGCCTGCCTCAAACGATTGAGAGGATGAAGTAGGGAAAGTACAGAGCACATGCTAGATGCATAGCAAGCTTAGCCAGCCTCTTTTGGGGGGCCTGAGTTTCCTCATTTGTTAGACAAAGGGCTGGACTGGAAAACATCCAGCGCGCTTCCCAGCTCCAACAGGCTGTGGCTGAGCAGTGAGAAATGTTCCAGAATTCCACATAGTCCCACTCCAGCTCCAGAGGCTGCATTTCCTTTCTCAGCTCATGCTGACACAAAGGTACATGCTGTTCAGCGGCGCGTGGAAAAACATGTGAATCCAGTTAGAAGCGCACTTCAGACTCCTCCAGGACGCCCTTGTGCTTCTAATCTTGCCTGCTAACTTAGATATGCGTCTGTCACTCATGACATGCCCCTGGCTCTGCCTAGGGGATGTGTCCCCATATGCAAAGAAACCCAGGTACCCAGAAGCACAGGGATCCCTCACCCCAAAGCTCCTCCAGAAGGCGGTGTGTGCATGTGCCCGTGCACAGACAGGTGAGCACCGGCGCGCACGGTCGTGCCCAGCACACAGAGGCACAAGTACACGCTCACACGGTTGCACTTACGCGCAGCCACACACGCGGATGGCCCCAGAGACCGCCCGGTAGAGCACGGAGCGGCCACTCCTCCCTTTGGCGACTCCCAGGCCCGGGCCTCCCCCCGCCGCCCCGCGCGCGCCCCCGCCGCCCGCGCCGCAGTCCGCATCCACCCGGCGCGGTCAGCCCGGGCTGCGGCTCCAGCTCTGCGCTCCGCGCGTCTCTCCGAGCCGGATCGCGGGAGCGAGCAGGGGAGGGGACCGCAGCCGGCGCCCGAGGGCAGGAGGAGTCCACAGGCGGGTCCCGGGCTGCCACAGCAGCTGCCGGTGGCTAGGAGGTGCCAGCCCGCGCGGGGTGGCCCAGCTGCGGGAGCGGTGGGGCGGGGGACGCGGCCGCGGGCCCCCGGGAGAGCTCGCGGGCAGCATGGCGGGGCTGCGGGCCAGGCGGGGCCCGGGACCGAGGCTGCTGGCGCTCTTGGCGCTTGGCTTCTGCCTCATGCCGCAAGTCAGCGCTAAGAGGCCCCCCAAGACGCCCCCCTGCCCTCCCAGCTGCTCCTGCACCAGGGACACCGCCTTCTGCGTGGACTCCAAGGCAGTGCCCAGGAACCTGCCCTCGGAGGTCATCTCCCTGTGAGTGTCCAGCCCTGGCCTTGGGGGGTGGGGAGGGAGAGGAGGCCGATGACAGCTCTGGGAGAGGACAGGAGAACCCCTGCTCCCTGCCTTCAGAGTGTAGAGACCAGGGGATCGCAGGGGTCCTTAGGACTGGAGATTCCAGGCACCAGTGGGCAGCGAGTTCTGCAGTTTTGCAGGCTCAGCGGCCATGGCTGGGAAAAGCAGGAGTTCACCGCCAAGAATGAATCATCACTGCCAGGAGCATCAATGAGACCTACTGTGTGCTGGGCTCGGGACTTGGGGGGGGGGTTGTTTACACGAGCATGTGGGCCCCTGTCTGTGATGTCACACCAAGGGTAGGGGAGGGCTCCTTATGGGGGAGGAGGGTGGCAGGCAGGGCAGTGTGGGAATGAGCTATGCCCTCCTAGCACCCTGGCTTGGGGCACATGCCTGCCACTGGCCAGGCACTTGGCACCCAGCCCGGCCAGCCTGTCACTTGCAGCAGCCAGCCTCAGGGGCTCCCCTTGTCTGTGGAACCAGAGAGGCTGTGAGGTCCTTGGGGACCAGGATGCCAGCCACCACCCCCATGTCCCATCTCTCAACAGCACCCAGCACATTGTGGGTGTTTGGATGATGATGACGACGGTGTGGATGATGGAACCTTTTCTTGGCTAAGAGGGAAGCTGAGTCTGGGGCCATGGGTGCCCCAAGAGGCAGTAGGGGAGGACCATGGCGAAGGCAGGGGGTGAATTTGGGAGGAGAAAGGAAAGACACAGGTAGGGGCCAAGGAAGCTTGGTGAAATGGGGCATTTCCAGAGTGAGTACAAAAGCCACTCCCTCCCTGTCCACCTCTCCCTGCCTCAGCACAGTCCCTGCAGCCCCCACAGTACTGACTCGGGTGTCTCCGCAGGACCCTGGTGAATGCCGCCTTCTCAGAGATTCAGGATGGAGCGTTCTCCCACCTCCCACTGCTGCAGTTCTTGTATGGACAGGGCCTTGGGAAAGGGTTGGGGGACTGTGGGGATGGTCGCAGGGGACAGATCCTGGGCTGGGGAGACAGAGAGAGGACAGAAGCAGCCTCTGGAGATGAAGATGCAGGTGTCCCTTGCTTCTGTTCTGATAGGATGTACCCAAAAGGCGGGGCAGCCTGGAGTCATGGGAGTCAGGGTCAACAGGAGGAGAGCTAGAGACGGCGTACAGAAGCCAAGCAGGGGGGATCGGGGATGGGCTCAGCTCCTCTGGATACCCAAGGGGATTGGGTGCGATAGCCTGGGTCAGTACCCAGCGTGGGCACTGTGGGGTCATCTTAGAGACAGGTGACCCCGGGAATCAGGGATCACAGAAAGAGCTGGGGGCTGAAAGAAAGGGATAGCAGGAGTGTCTCAAACTCTACAAGATGTCATCCATGAGGGACAGTTGTCCATGAGGGGTTGAAGTGGGACAGAATGAGGGTGGGGGACAGGGAGAGGAGATGCCACGGGGGCAGGCAAGGAGCCGGCTTGACAACAGAGCCCTGCCTCGGCGCATATTTAGGAGCCGACAGGGACTCTGGGAGCTTCTGGGGCCAGAACAGGCTCCTACCTGGTCTTGTTGCCCAGGTGGCCCAGGGATTCCCATGGGGTCCCTATGGGTGGCAGCAGGGCAGCCAGGTCTTTGGGAAGCCCAGGGCTGAGGCAGCGGGCTGGGGGCTGGGGCAGCAGGCACACTCTTGAAATCTCTAATTCCAACTTTGTCTCCGCAGGCTACTCAACTCCAACAAGTTTACACTGATCGGAGACAATGCCTTCACGGGACTGTCGCACCTGCAATATCTGTGTGTGGGACGGAAGGGGGCCGTGGGAAAGCAGAAGGGAGGGGACCCCAGGCCTGGACGGCCAAGGGTCTGGGTGGGGAGTGGACGAGAAGGCTTCGGGATGGGGAGATGATGGGAGGCAATAGGTCTTGCATCCCACGATGGCAGGACCTGAGCAGGGGGTCATTTCATTCGTTTTGCCCCCACCCTACCTGACGCCCTGTCCCTACGGGCTTGATGATGCCAGACTCCATCTGGAAACCTGTCTTGGGGACATGGGCTGACATCTAGGCTGAGGCATAGGGCGAGTGCTGCTGGGGGTCTGGCATCCTGAGTGACAACTGAGGCCCATTCTCGCTTTCCCCAGCTTCATTGAGAACAATGACATCTGGGCCCTATCCAAGTTCACCTTCCGAGGACTCAAGTCCTTGACTCACCTGTGAGTACATCATGCATTCACACACTGCACTGAAGCCCCACCTCTCCTGTGGCCTTTGGCCATGGTCATGATCTTCAGATGACCCAGATGTCTCTCTTGCAGCTCGCTGGCCAACAATAACCTGCAGACACTGCCCAGAGACATCTTTCGGCCCCTGGACATCCTGAACGACTTGTAAGGCCCAAGTCCTGTCTCCTCCAACAGTGCCGCAGAGGGTGCCTCCCTGGAGGGAGTGGCATGGGAGTCAGGACTGGGATGGTCATGAGGTCTTGAGAGGCTGGGAGGGCTTGGGTCTTGGGGGGTCCCTGAGAAGGCGAGGTGGACTTAGATACAGATGGTAGCTTTCCAAATTGGAATTTCTCTCAAAGTGCACCGGAGATGCCATGAGTGCCTGTTTTAAAAATGTGCTTTTTAAGGCTGGGCATGGTGGCTCATGCCCATAATCCCAGCACTTTGGGAGGCTGAGACGGGTGGATCACCTGAGGTCAGGAGTTTGAGACCAGCCTGGCCAACATGGCGAAACCCCATCTTTACTAAAAATACAATAATTTGCCAGGCATGGTGGTGGGCTCCTATAATCCCAGCTACTTGGGAGGCTGAGGCAGGAGAATAGATCACGCCATGGCCCTCCAGCTTAGGCAGCAAGAGTCTCATGCTGTTGCCCAGGCTGGAGTGCAGTGGTGCCCTCTCGGCTCACTGTAACCTCTGCCTCCCAGGTTCAAGTGATTCTCCTGCCTGAGCATCCTGAGTAGCTTGGACTACAGGCGTGAGCCACCACGCCAGGCTATTTTTTGGTATTTTTAGTAGAAATGGGGTTTCACCATGTTGGCCAGGCTGGTCTTGAACTCCTGACCTCAAGTGATCTGCCCGCTTTGGCCTCCCAGAGTGCTGGGATTACAGGCGTGAGCCACTGCACCCAGTCAACGTGTGCTCTTTAAATGTATGTTTGACTGGACTCTACATTAAAGTCCAATGAGGGAGGAGTGTTTGAAGGTCTCAAGTGAGTAGTGGCGTATAGTAGTTTATATACAGCACATAGTAGTATGTAGCATAGCCACACTCATTTATCATATTTATAAGAAAATAAAAGCCTGGATTGTGGGAGGCTTAGAGAAACAGGGATGCAACATATAGCTGTGCAAGTTGCACACTGCAAAAGCTAGCCTGACCGAAGAGCTCAGCAAGGGCTGAAACTGGCTCCACACTGCTGGCCAAGCCTGTGTCTGCGGAGCTGCATCCAGCCAGAGGGCAACTTTTCTCTAATCTGTACAAAGACGCAAGTGAGCAACTCGAAGCAGCCTCGACCAGCTCTACTAATGGAAACCTGGAGGGCCTGGGTGGGCCGAGCCCTGAGAGCCTGTCCCTCTCTGTGCCCCCCTCCTCTGCCCTCATGATGCAGAGACCTGCGGGGCAACTCCCTCAACTGCGACTGCAAGGTGAAGTGGCTGGTGGAGTGGCTGGCGCACACCAACACCACGGTGGCGCCCATCTACTGCGCCAGCCCGCCCCGCTTCCAGGAGCACAAGGTCCAGGACCTGCCCCTGCGGGAGTTCGACTGCATCACCACCGGTAGGAGGCGCCCCTGCCTTGGATGTCAGTCCATGCCTACCCCAAGGCAGCTTGACAGGCATGAGCCCTCCCCACCCTGCCCCACAACACTCAACGGCAGCAGTCAAGCAACCACTGTCCCCACGCAGCCCTTCCCTTCCCCTTCCGGTCTTGAGTCACACGCCTCTCATCCCTACAGATTTCGTGCTGTACCAGACCCTGTCCTTCCCAGCAGTGTCGGCTGAGCCCTTCCTCTACTCCAGCGACCTCTATTTGGCTCTGGCCCAGCCAGGTGTCAGTGCCTGCACCATCCTGAAGTGGGACTACGTCGAGCGGCAGCTTCGAGACTATGATAGAATCCCAGGTACCTGCGCCCAACCTGGCTCTGCTGGCCCTTGCCAGGGGGAGGGAGAGTGGGCTTCATCGTTCAACCCCGTTGAGTTCCTGTAGGTAGAGGGATAGAGGAGACATAGCTTCTGCCCACAAAAACTTTCCAGTCTTTGGAAGGAGGCCAATATGTACACAGATAACATCCATATGCTAGGCAGGTGTTAAAAGGGAGATACAAACACGATGCTCTTAGCAGCACAAAGGACAGGCCTACCCCGGGCAATCAGGGAAGGCTTCCTGGTGTAGGGCGATATCTAAGCTGAGTCTTAAAGGATAAAAGAAAGAGAGGACTCAGAGGCGATGCCCAGGTTTCTGGCTTAAATAATTAGATGGACTGGGAAATGAGGAGGAGGGGATAGGTGTGACTG